AGAGGTGGTGAAGGATCCTCTGAAAAATGAGCATTATGTCCTGACCTCCATATCAACAGCACTTTTCAGGTTTCTGTGATGGTGCTTGTGGTTGAGGTGTCTTCAATGACATTCCAGCACAGGAGATGGTCTATTAGTGGAGAGGATTTTCCAGCTGCCACCATGTGGGGGATGAAAACTGTACATCCAATTCTCCTTCTAGACAAAACCCCAAAATTCAAAAGAGGTTGTGAGTTCGATATTAATTTGAAAGGATCCGTCCCCCAGACACCGCTGTTTAATTTGTGGCGGAGTGACACTGATTGCAAACTTTTCCAGATGACGCTTATGCATGGTGACATCATTTCCATGCACCAGTGCCTGGGATGAATGCCAGTTTGTGTGATTTAATTTCTCCATAAATGACAAGTTTCCTTTTATGGCCCCCGCCGAGCAGACTAAATGTGCACTGGGGAGGGAAGGGGAGGAGAGGGAGGCAGCCTAAAACGAGAGGAAAGAAAACTAAAGATAAGTGCGAGTTCAAATGATACAATAACACAGATATAACAAAATGTTTTAAAAGACAGAGAAGAAAATGGAAAGGGCATAAAATGAGACAAAAACATATATTTTTTTGGTCTATGTTTTTAACAGTAGCAGCAGAGGGTTGAACAAACTTCTGAAGCTCACACAGCACACAAAGGCAGATAGAGAGCGGAGGGAGGGACCAGTAATTAAAAACACCTTACAGTAAACGAGCCGCAGGGAATGAGACGCTCGTCACGGCACAGCGGTGGTGGCGCACACAGCTGCACAGACCGAGGCCCGGGGAGCTCCCTACAATTAGAGAGCATGGCAGAAGCAGGTTCAAAGCCTGCCTCATGCCAGCGTCTCTGTCCTGAGGGGGGACTGGGTTGGAGGAATGAGGACGAATAGAGGGTAGCTCTGACATGCACACACTCGCGCGCACACACACACACATAGAGACATGCTGTGCATCCACAGAGAACTCATATTCATACCAACACACATACAACTGTGTGATCTTGAGAGAGTTTGGCCAGAATACACACCTCCCTTAGCCTGGCTCTGCCTTTGAAGGCTGCCATCTCTCCCTGTGAGCCGGCTGAAGAAACTGGGTCCTTGCTGCAGGCAGTGACGTTATAGTCCCTTTTCTTTAGAAACCAGAAGACCTGGTCATTTTATTCCGTCTTTACACACACACACATACAAAATATACCAGAGGCCAAACTGCAGGCAAAGCCTGCTTTTTAAAAGTTAGTGCAGAAGCAGAGTCTGCATTTAATTACGTGTAAATAAGTAAATAAACATTAGCATTCAGAAATTAAAAACTATGCTCCGTTGATGAATGTGGCTTGTCATGCTCAGCACTGTGCCCTGGTAGAGAAATTTGATTCAGCAGCTGTATTTAAGAAAACTCTCCTACATTTTGCAACAGCACCCGCTCTTGCTTATTGTCCTCGGCTTATTTAAAGACTCTCATGCCGGAGCTTTTGCATCTAAAAAAAGCCAAAGTGCATGGATGTAGCCCCCAGCCTGGGTCGGAGATATAGAGCCTTCACGGTAGCGTCACTTTCCCCCGTGCTAAATCAATTGTGGTTAACAAATTGGCCATGACGTTTGCCCTGCCAGGGTGGGTGGAACCCTTTTTCATGGGTCCACCCAGTTTTTAAGGACCTTTTCCACAGTCTGGGAGGCCTCTTTTTAGAGCTGAGGTGAGTGGAGCACAGACATGGCCACTGTGAAATTAACACTTAATAATGCTCCACATAGCACTTAAACAGGGCCGACCCATACTAATGTACCACACACTGAGATGCCCTTGGTAACCTCACTTAGTGAATGGGAGTTTGGTTGTTGTGTCGAGGTTTTTGATAACATTAGGAATGGAACTATTTTTTGTGATTAATCAATTAATCATTTGGTCAGAAAATGGCAAAAAATGCCAAGAGGAAAACTTATTTGTCCAACCAGCAGTCCAAAAGTAAACTCTTAAGTTTACTATCACATAGGTCAAAGAAAAGCAGCAAACCTCAACATTTGAGAAGCAGGAACTGGGTTATGTGTGACATTTTTGTTGACTTAACAATTAATCAGTTATCAAAAAAAGGTGCATTTCTTTATTAATTTGCCAATTGTTTCAGCCCTGGACAACATTTACCATTACATTGCTGATGTATTTTAGTTGGTTCATTAAGTTGTTGTTGTTTCAAACTTACTTTTTTTAATATCTTGCTTTGAGGAAGGTGAGTTGTCAGTGTTTAATTAACAAGCAACCAAAATGCAGCCGGAAATTTGCTAAATTACTGCACAATTTAAATCTGTAATGATCTGAATACTCTGACAAAGCATCCAATCCCAACAGTTGGGTCCAACCTTTGACACATTTCAGTCTGTACCCCAGTTTGGCATCAAATAGTATTTCTGTTACATTACAGGAGGGTGTTGTTAATTTGGGCATTTCCGACTCATTAATCGGAAGATGTGCAATTATGTGTACTGCCTCAGCCCAGTGGTGGTTGGTCAGTCCTACTGTAGCAAATGTTTCCTGTTTGTTTTCCTCCATTGGAAGGAAAAATGTACCTCACTCACTCGTGTAAGTGCAGTTTGATAAAGTCTGCTGTTGTCACATTGCAGTTAATGGAGCAGCAGGTGGACTTGGAGTAAAATGATACAACAATATGGCCCATCATTTTGTCACACCAGCTGCTCCTCCTGACAATCACCGTCTCTTCCACTGTCACTCAGTTTCTTCCTCCCTTTCAGCAAACACCTTTTCTTTTTAGGAGCTTCTTGCTTTTCAAAACAAACATAAAAATCAGATGCTCCTACTTCTTTTGCCATTTCCTGTTAAAGTGTAACACACTAACAACTCTAAATTGTGTTATTTTCTGTTGAATACAAAGGCAGATTTTCAGCTAGGGAAGAATGTTTCAGCCTGGTGGGAAAATACCTCTTCGCCTTAAGTCTGGCAAAGCTTTTTCATATGATTGCTCCTCCACCCTCAACCTCGCTCCTCATCCCTTCATCTTCACATCCCTTCAATCCACCATTCACAGCTTGTGTGGCAAACGCCAGCTGCTTTTTCTTTAAACAAGTGAAATGCCATAAGATTAGCAGAAGAAAGATGGGTGAAATGTTTTGCCAGCACTATTACGTGGCATGTAACCTCATTAGGGGCAACAAAGCGGAGCAAAATGCTCGGGTGCAAGCTGTGACCTTTCAGGGGAGGAGCTGAGAGGGGAGGCCAAGGGTTCGTGGGCAAAGAACAGGGAGCTAATTTTACTTCATAATGGCAACCAGGCAGCTTGAATAGACAGAAAAGAGGGGAGCAGTGAGGTCAAGTGTCAGCCATCCTGCCAAGAGTCTCTCTTGCAGGGGAGGCCCTGAAACACACACACACATACATACATGCACACACACACTGGGGCCAGCCTCGCGCTGACAATGCAGCCACGCCCCCCACCCTTCCCAGGCTTTTGTGCCTCTTCAACAATGATTAACTGAGTTTGGCGATTCAGAGAGTCTAGAGCAGCACAATGCACTCTCTCTTACAAAACATAATAGAGTCAACCCATGAGTCAAACAGTCTCTCTTTCTTCCGCTGTTTTTTTCAAACTGTCCATCTCCCCCTGCTAACAGCCTCTTTGCTTTTCTTTTCCGTTCTCCCCCCTCTCTCTGCCTCTTCTCTGCCTTCAGACCATAAATCCTATTGTCCCCCATGCTCGTTAATGCAGGAAAAGCAGGCAGATGCGGCCGTCCTCCTAATACATAAAAACAAGATGCAGATGGAAAGAGGCAGCGTAGGTGCCATGGGCTGCATGTGGAAAAACAAAAGGTATTGATTAGCTGGAATCGATGCGTAACCCTAAAAGCATCTCCTGCAAGAAATTCAAGGAATTGATCGCTGGCCTTAAAGATTTGTATGATGCTCGTATCAAAAAGAGGGAGACAGATTTTACAGGCATGAAATCCAACATCCAGACAGTACCACAGGGGCCTTCAAAAACTGAGATATGGGGGGGGGAAGTACACTCACAATGAGCGGTGTGCAGAGCTGACAGGAACTTGTAGAACATGGTGTGAGTAAAGCTGAGCAGGCATGTTAACAGAAACACTAAAATCTCAGAACATCACACCCCCGGGCCTTTTACAGGAGGTGTGAAGGAGCTCACCTCTCCTCGTGACAGGAGGAGGAGGAAGGAAGTGAAAGAGTGTGGGGTTTTTTTCCGATGTGAAATGCCTGATTGTCCCAAGCTGAAGGAAAAGGAGCTGAAGCTGGTGGTATCAAAGGGCACAATCATTTCTTTTTGCTCCTGCAGGCTCCGAAAGGGTTTAGAGGTTTAAAGTATATGCCTATCAAAAAGCTTAGTATTTAACACAGCATATCTGTCTGTTCAATCCATACACAATCAGAAATGTAAAATTGATAGTTTGTGGTTGTAGAGGAAATGTAGTTGTGAAACTGTCATAAGTTTATCTATCCATTCAATACTGGCTACCTCGTGGTGACGATGTTAAGTCACCGTTTCTTACTGTTGTTCACAAAAGAATAGTTACAGCACATAACTCTGAACTAATTGCCTCACTAGGTTACGCTATTAGGTACACCTCGAACATGCACAGTTTTGTTCTTCATATTTTAACTCTCTTGTGGAAAGCAGCCCAGCAAGAGTGAGTGGCAGCATGACATGAACGTTTGTTTTGTTTTGTAACCATTGTCCCCGTTTTCTTCTCCTCTCACATTACCTTCCCTCCTCCTCGGCAGTACATGAAGAACCACTATGATAAAGTAGCACATGGACACACAGCTCATTATGACAACAAAAACTCAGTAGTAGAGGGCTAATCTGGATTCAGGAGAAAGACTGTCAATATGTGTCATCCGCAGGTCTCCCACAGAGCAACACAGATGGGGGCTCAGAATATGACAAAAGGATGATGATGTCCAAAAGGACATCAATCTGACTCCCATCTGTCTCCTTTTTTTTCTCTTGCAGCACACCAACAGTAGCCAGAAAGAAGGGTACCAGGAAACAACTGTACTTGTGAAGAAACTACTACTCTGTGCTTAACGATGGGAGACCGATTGTATCTTCCAGCAGTTGCTAGCGCCTTGCTCCCCGTGGCCCTTGGCATATTGACCCTTCTTCCTCACAGCCTTTTGGGTAAGCCCGCAGGGGAGGAAAACGCAGGCAGCTCAGCACTGCTCCAGAGGGTGAAGAGAGGCTGGGTGTGGAACCAGTTCTTTGTCTTGGAGGAATACACCGGACTGGAACCACTTTATATTGGAAAGGTCAGTGTTGACTATGTGCGCACACATAAAAGTATAACCTGAAAAAATGCAAAGTGTACAGGTTTCGGGCCTGGTAGGGGAACAGCTTTTCTGCATGACCTTTCCGCTTGGTGTAGCCTGTGTATAAGGTGCCTCAGTGTAGGTGTTGCAAAGAGATTTCAAACAGTGCAAACTTAAAGATCTATAGGGGAGCTCAGTCGCCTGGAGATCATCTGCTGCTCGGCTAGAGCTGAGCACATGAATGCAAAAGAGAAGATCATGGGTGGGAAAAAGCAAACTTAAATAACTGCAAAAAAAATCCCAATTGAATCCCTGGATACACTGTGTCCATACTAAGGCAGCCTCTCTTCTGTTCACTTTGAACCAGATCCAGACAGCAGTGATTGAGTTAATTGACTCGAACCGAGGCTTCGCTCAGTCGGCCTTCATTCCACAGAAGTGGACGGCACGTCTGCAACACAACCGACATGCTCTGAAAAGAGCAGACAAGGGATGCTCTCAAAGGAGCACTTTGATCGCTCAGTCGCTAAAGTGAATTGAACATTTGATCAATAGTTGTAAGGCCAGTCATCATCAGCAGAGCGACACAACAATCAATGAAAATTGCCATTACATCACCACGTTTTTTGTTAAAGGTTTTTTGGCCATATGTAAATTGTTTGAGCCAGAACACACCATTGACAGAAATTATCTTCTTGAAAAATAAAATATCCCTTCACTTTGACCTCTCTGTGGCCAATAAATTAATCGGTACGATGAATGCTATTAGCAGGCTCCTCTTGTTTAGATTGTATCAGCTGTTGTCAAGTCAAGTCGAGTTAGCTGAACTACTAATGTTATCTGGTAAGCACGCACCACAATCCAGTGTTTGGACACTCACAGTTTTGTTACAAAAGAAATATTGTTCTGTTTCATTATGACATTCAAAACTAAAGTGAGGCATGCATGATATGACAAAAAACACCACACACGTAGGAGTTTGTACTCTATTATCTAGCATTAGCTGTCATTTTCCAGTATGTTTTAGCTAGTTGCTAGTTACATTTACAACTTACATTTAATGCTAGAAGATAATTAATACTCAGAATGCTTCAGTTATACTTTTAAGCATACCAAATCAATATTTTAATCACCTTGATCAATATTATGGACATTTACTGGCGAGCAGTAGCTTAAACAAGCGAAACTTCAAGCTAACATAACATTAGCTCAGCAGCTAAAACAGAGCTCAGCAGCATAAATTTACTGTCAGTCTGGACTTACTAACCATGTGTATCACTATAAATGGAAAACTATCACTTTTATTAAATTAGTGCAAATTAAATTATTATTTTATGTATCTTTTGTCGCTAAATGTGAGGTACAGTAAATTTGTCTGCCGTAGATGAACGTAAAATAAGATCCATAAGAACCATATGATATCTGACTTTTTACTTGATTGAAAATAACATTAGATGTCTAATATGATATGCCAGACATCAATTTTTATAGTTGTATCAACATTTTGTAGCACCCAACAGGCATACAGTTTTAGTAGTTATTGCACCCCTTGAATGAGCAACGACCCCACAGAACAGCACTGATGGGGCGCTTTTGACCCTCCTCTAGATAATCCTAGCTCAAACACTGAATTGTATTGCATGAAAAATTTGAATTCTCATAATATCCGTTCCTGTTTTTTTCACCCGATAGCAAATTGAAATGGCACTGAATTGAATAAAGAGAGCAGAGCATTCTGTCAGAACTTGGCTGTAAGATCTCTCAGCGCCCATGTGCAGAGCTGTTAAAACGCTTTCTTTTCCCAAATTCCTGAAAATAGGCTGCCCTGATCTTAAATCGCTGATTCCAGACCTTTAATTGAATTTACCATTGCCTCAGTAGTCCTTGTCGACTTTTAAAAACTGCAGTACTACCAGTCATCCTCTGAAATGATGTAACCTGCCTAATTAGTGATCTGGAATAATTTCCCAGCCACCGCTCGGGATTACTGAGGAAAATGCTGCATTCCAAAAAGTCACATGGTAAGACCAGATAGAAGAGTAACAAGTCCTAAGAGAGTGTCACCAGAGCTGCAGAAAAAAAGACTAAATCTGCATACGTGGTATGCAATATTCCTTACAGTTGCTGTAGCATATTCACTTTCATCTTACCTCTTCTTATATCACATTTAGTGTTTCTTCACTGATTCTGTCCAAGCCGCCCACCCTCATTTTTCCAAGCTGAATAAATTAAGTGATTCTGACAGGCCAGGCTACTACCCAGAGAGCTACTCAATGCAGAAAAGCATTGTAGGATATGACAATTCAGGAGAAACGTGTACTGTAGCCTCCCCCATAAGGGTTATCCCCCCCCCCCCCAGCTCAGTATTCAGAGCCATGGGGATCTCGGAGGTTTGGGCTTTGGGCTAGGACTAAGACCGAGCAGGTAATTGATAGCCTCAGTGTCAAACTCCCTCTTTTCATAGGCTTGGATGTAGAGGAAGAATCAGTGCAGGAGAAGGCGGATAAGGTGGATGGAAGGCACCAGCCCGAGATATATCCATATATATACCATAAGACTCGGGGCGGAAGCCCACAATGGGGTGTTGATTAAAAAAATATATTCTGGACCGCGCTGGGCTACACAGCGCTTTGCAGGAGAGAGTGCAGGTGGCCACATTGACCGAAGAGATAGGAAAAGCTGTTTTGTCTGCTGCTCTGGGAATGACGGGTATTGTGAAGATTGCTGCTGAACTATCACTACAATAACAACAATGAGTGCTGTAGCTGCAAACTTTTAGCAGTTCAACAACCTCAGCTTGGTCATTTCGACGAAAGGCTACTGGGAGTATTTTGAAATGCATGTGTTTAGAGTCAGCAGGGGGATTTTTGTCAGTGTTGTGTTGTGTGCTCGCTATGCACGCGTGTTGAAGACATATGTCAACAGGGGCATTTAATTCTGCTCTGCCATAGTGATGGCAATAAGTACTCATCATACGCAGAGACCCTCTAAGTACAAAGTAAGGAGTGATTGCGCATCAACAGGCTGCCATTTGCACTTACAGGTCACAAAAGGCCTCTGATTGCACTGCAGGGCCCATGGCAACAATCGGGCTGTAAGCTGTGATTAGTCTACTTACAGCTACAGTATTATGGTATACATATAATAAACACCACCACTGGAGGTTTAGAATATTCATTTTACAGTGATACAGAGAAAGCAGCATTCTCACTGCAAATAACTTTATTTTCTGTTGACCTGTTGACTATAGAAAATAGACACAGTATCATGTCCTACCAGGTCTGAACCTCGACCAACCTCACTAACACATTTTCAGTTGGATTCAGATCAAGAACTCGCTGTTTGGCCCCTTCAATTCCTTTGGTATCTTCTGTGGTTGTTTACACTGTGCTGCTGCATTGTTCTAAAATTAGGGGGTTTGACCCGATTAAATGTCCTGAAAAACATGTCACATCTTGACACCATATGTTACATTCCTGTTCCTAGATTCAAATTGTGACCACTGTTACACTTTGATGATGTAGTTTTGTCTGACTCTTCCCTCTATAACTAAGGCACTAGCAGTTTAGTTGTCCCATGTTACTTCCAAAACCCTTGAGATGTCTCCAAAATAACAAGTGGATCCTTTCTTTGGGAATATGCATTGTGGATTAAACCTTTTTTGTCTGATTCATCTCCACAGCTCCACTCAGACATGGATAAAGGTGACGGCTCCATTAAGTACATCCTGACGGGCGAGGGCGCAGGTACCACCTTCACTATCGATGACAGCACCGGGGACATCCACGCCATCCAAAGGCTAGACCGGGAGGTGAAGGCCCAGTACATCCTTCGCGCCCAGGCCCGCAACCGCCTGACGGACAGGCCTCTGGAGCCTGAGTCCGAGTTTATTGTGAAGATCCAGGACATCAATGACAATGAGCCGAGGTTTCTGGATGGGCCCTACCAAGCATCTGTACCCGAAATGTCCAAAATAGGTGAGCAGTGGGAGATGAAGGCAGACAGATGGATGGAGACAGAACCTAAACTGTTGCATGTACATATTGGGGTTGTTTTTCAGGAAGTGGCTCATGCGAATTTGCAGCCGTGGAAAACAAGAGCAAAGTATATCATAGTCCTGCAGAGTCATCGTTGTTGTTTGTTCTTACAGGCTTGTCTCCATCTGCTTCATTCACTATTCATAAACCTACTTTTGTGGTTACTTTGAAGTAAATAAGCATAGCTAATTCCTGGAGCTGCTGCTGCCGCACATGGAAAAACTTTTCCTTGATTTATAAGATAATATTGGTGTAGCTGACCGGCACCTTTCATCCACCTCATCCTGTTATTCCCATTTTAGCCACTGTTCCTCACGTTTGCCTTTATGTTTACCCAGGAACATCTGTGATCCAGCTGACGGCTACAGATGCCGACGACCCAACGTACGGCAACAGTGCTCGGGTGGTCTACAGCATCCTGGAGGGCCAGCCTTATTTCTCAGTGGACGCCAAGACTGGTACGACTCCCTCTAAAACACTCAATCTGTTACCATGGAAACCAGCTTTTTTATCCATTACATGGAGCGCCTGATAGATTTCAAGCTTCACCAGCCACTTTAACTATTTTATGAGCTGCATATGAATTTGTAATAAGTATGAATGATGTTAGATGACCTGATAAAGTCCACAAACTACCACTGACAGGATTTACTAACACTCGGCTGACAGCTGCTGTTAATTCCCCACCTTGTTTCTAACACTGTATCACACTGTCTGATTTTAACAGTCCACGCTTTAAGCCCCTGTGTACACGAACCAGCTCTGAATGTGGGAAGCTCAGCATGGTTTCTGTTGTTGCTATGAGACTACCGAACACTTGTCTGAAACACGGTGCTCTTTTGTTACAACTTGCAGCATCTCAAAAACTCCTGGCACAAAAAAATATGTGCTAAGCTCGAAGTGTGACTTCTCTGTTGAAAATGAGGACAAAATAAGACAGGCAGCCCCTCGTAGTGAAGTGATCAAGTGCTTCCAGAAACTCATAAGAGAAATCTCACAGCTTTAATCCCCTAAAAATATATATGTCCATTTGTCACAAACCAAATATACTTAGGACTGCTGCCAGCTAAACAATATTATTGTGATTTTCATCATACCAACATATCATTGAGCTTATTTGATTTATTGTCAAGAGTTAGACGAGAAGGCTGATACCAGTCTCATGTCTCTGCGTTACGTGCTAAGTTTGAACTGGGAGGCAATTAGGCTAAGTTAAGTTAGTATAGAGACTGGAAGGGGGGGGGCAGTCAGGGCAGCTCTGAAGCTCACTAATTAAAATGGTTTGTCTTGTTTGTTTGATACAAATGTGAAAAGACATTTGATTTTTTAACAATGATTTAAAGCCGTGCTAGCTATTTCCCCCGGCTTCCAGTCTTCATGCTAAGCTAATCACAGTCAACATTGCAGCACATGGTAACAGCATTTAAAACTCCAAACTTCCACTTCCAAAAATCCATTAGTTTCCTAAAAGCAGAGAATCACTGGACATTGTTTACCACAGATGCCTCATTTCCTTGTTTGTGAGCAAAGACATCTGTTGCCAAACCTCTCAGGCTGCGCTGGCCATCAGCAGCCTCTCAGACTGCTGCTGCTGTAGGATCATCCATCACTGAAACACAAGTGGCTCTACAGCTATCAATCAGCCTCCCTGAATCGGCTCTAAGCACTGCACTGAGTCTTTTATTGGTGGAAACACAATGTAAAACTTCACAGATATAGCTCAAACCTTCAATACTGTTGCATGTACTCCTTTTCTTCTTCTTCAGCACAAAACATCACTTGACCTTGTTTATCTCTGGCAAAACTGTTTGTCTATGGATGTCTTTGCTAATAATGCACTGTTAATAATAGTGTACAGACAAAACCCTCTACTGTCCATGACCATGGAAACTCATTTATTTAGTCTTATGGAAACTATCCATCAGTTTATTGTCAGTTTTGTTTTGTTGTTTGGGATGCAAGCATGTACCTCGTCATGTTCTGACTTTTACGTTTCCACACTGCTGATACTTTGATATCTATCTTGTCTTTTTCATACACACATGCACACATAAAACCATGCTAACTCATCTACATGTATAGAATTGAGGTTTTTTAACCAAGTAAAAAAATCCTTATCCTGAAAAAGAAAACCGGAGTTGCCTCTAGCTCAGGCTGTGGAGCAGCAAGTAAGAAAGAAAGGCAAAAACATTTACCTTTCTTTGGACAAAAGTTGATGTTATGTGATCAAATGCATGACGTTTAGGAAATCTGACACTTAAGGGACTAGGCCCGAGATGCAAAACATAACATTAGTTAACGCAGCTCACTTTCTGTTCTTGTTCAAGAGGTAGGTAGGTAGATTTATTTGTCACAATAATATAATAATATGTTATAATATAGTTTGTAACTCCCTTCTGCTAAGTAGTAGACAATATACATATGAAAGCAATTATAAAAATGGTAAACAGAAATAAACTGTAATAATAATAATAATCATCATCATTATCATCATAATCATGTGGACAGCGATACACAATCCAATGAAAAAATTTAAAATCTATGCAGTATCAAGATGTTTTTTCTCTATTGCAGCCCAATAACAAAGTTTGGTTGTTGACGATGTAGTTTGGTAAGACTTTAAAAGAGAAACCCTGTCATTAAACTAAATTGTTACTTAAAAAGTAGAATACTTTATAAATCACTCATGCAGCCTCTTTTCCGATCCATTGGGAGTGTTGACATTTCAAGACACCATCGCTTGGACACATGACCCTAATCTGTGTCCCCAGTCTTGTTGCTGACTTTTAATTCAACTCATGTGTCTTTTTTGCCCTCTCTTATTCTCTGTGTTTTGGTTTCTCTCTTCAGGCGTAGTCCGTGTGTCCCTTGCAGACATGGACCGGGAGACCAGAGAAAACTACACCGTGGTCATCCAGGCCAAGGACATGGGCGGCCAACTGGGAGGTCTCGCTGGTACCACCACTGTCAACATCACACTCAGTGACATCAATGATAACCCACCCATGTTTGACCAGAGTAAGAGATGGACAACTTTTACATCCTTACTGCATTCTCTCTTATTATTCACCCATTTTTGTTTCTTTCCTGATTCGCTTTACTCCTCGCTCTACCTGAACTCACATCACCTTTCTGGACTCCCTCCTCATACTCTTACAGCTGAAAAAAAAGCTAAAGTAATGAACAGTTTCTCTCAACAGTGGAGGTGCCAGAGACTATATTATGGCATAATATATCACAATTCAGAAAAATGTATCAATGAGCTGAAAATGGATGGAATATTAACTAAACCTGATTGGTTATGACTCCCAGAAGTTACAAATTATTGATTATTATATATTTTATTTTCACAATTGAAAATAAATGATGATTTTCTCGATTAATCAGTTTTTGTCCATAAAATTTCTGGAAACAGTGAAAAATGTCATTGTGACATCTTCAAATATCTTGTTTGGTCCAACCAAAAGTCCAAAACCAAAGATATTCAGTTGACAGTGGTAAAATAAATCTGAGAAAAGCCGCATATCCTCACTTGAACCACTGAATATATATTGTATATTTAGACCAAAAAAGCCACCTGAAGTGTTCAGATGTTTAATCTGAATGAGGACATTCTCATTTTCAGAATTGAGTTTGGTATTATGCAGATAAAGTTCTGATTGTAAAGTAGCTGCTTTGCTTTTATTTAAGGGGTTCTTATATTTGCATTTTGCACCAAAACCTATAGAAAAAATTTTCACTTTTTATACAGTGAACCACGTGTTATATATTACAGAACCGAAATTTCCTGCATTTTTATAAATACAGGCACTGGGAGTTGAGACGCACCACAAACCTCAACCCAAAACCCTCACCATGAGCCTGAAGTTCCAAAACAAGCCTGTATTTCAGGACTGATACTGACTTGGAGTTTGAATCGTTAGTGTTTTTCAGCTGCAAATGTCTGCATGTGGGGCAGTGGTGTGGCATGCATGCAATAAAACATGGACTATGATATCCAAAGTGACACCACGAGAGTTTGCTGTTTTGTATGGGTGGCTCCACTTGTATCCACCTCATTTCTCTCGAGCATCCAAGCTCTTAGCCTCTCTGCCCTTCTCCCTGTGTCCACTTCTGGCCACCAGTCTGTGACAATTTACCCCCTGGCCTCCTCCCTCTCTCCCTCCCTGCTTCAGCCACCAGTCGCCCCATGCTGTCTTTTTGATTATCCCCATTTCTGTTCCTCTCATTAACGTCTTCCTGAGGTCAGGGGTTGTCTAGCTGTCCGCAGTCATGTATTCTTGGCCGACGGGTGGCTTCACTCCTAGACAAAGAAAACACCCGCCGCCGCCCACTTCCACTTCCATCACTAGTCCCCGACCAATTAGAGCAATCACTTCGATAGAACTTTGATCGGTTGAGAAGAGCTTCAGGGATTCCCCTCTATCAAGCACAATGTGCAGGCATTTCACTTTGGACTGCAGGGAGTGCCACAAATTGGGCAGCTGTCACCTCTTCTTTGAGGTTAAACGGTAGATGAAATTGAAGCTGACCCATGAGACAGTATATAACCCAATTGTGAGGCGTTTATGGACCCATTTCTTATAAGCTGTCCGAGATGTGATTGTGAGAGGAGAGAACAACTTTAAAGGTGACGGAAGAGGTATGGCTCCCTCTAGAGGATAAAAAAGTAAAACTGATGGAAAAAGGTGTGACCGGATGATCATTCTGATTATTTATTTCCTCAGGGCTGTATCAGATGAGCGTCCCAGAGTCTGCTCCCGTGGGCTCGGTGGTGGGTCGTATCTGGGCGAAGGACAGAGACATCGGGGTCAACGCTGAGATGAAGTACAGCATCATCGATGGAGATGGAAGGGACACCTTTGACATCACCACCGACCCCACCAACCTTTTTGGCATCATCATTGTGAAAAAGGTACACAGGCAAACTGATAAAGAAAACATAAATCTATATTTTAACAACTTACAGGTAATACATAATATTGATCATTTCTGATCATTCCTCTTATCTAAATTAATATTAATCAGAAAACAAGTATTTGATATTTGATACCCTGATACGAACCCCAAAAATGCTCCTTTGTCACAGTTACAAAACTCCCTTCAAAAATCTGCCAATTTTATTTTGACTTAAGAAGGACATACATTACATGAATTGTAAAGTACTTTAGTGGCACTAAAATCAATATTTTTTTAGCTTTCACTCTTTTGGAAAAACATCTGTCTTGATCTCTTCAACTTTCTGCAGTAGCATCCTTCATCATTTTTTTCCCAGACACAACGTTGCCTTCTGCTGTATGTATACATACTGCGGAGATTCTTTCTTTAACATCAAACTGGCACAACTTCCAAGTGTATCTTGAAGGAATTACAGTTGAGAATTCTGACTGCAAAGAGCATAACTTGTTTGCCACATTCAACTTGTGTTTAAAACTGCAGCCAAAGTGCAGCAAGAGTTCAGTTTCCATTAAAGGTTTCATCTGTATAACATCTTTATGTGTGTTCACCCTCCAGCCACTGAACTTTGAGGGCAAGCCCAGTTATACTCTGAAAGTGGAGGGCGCCAACACCCACTTGGACCCTGCCTTACGCCACCGTGGGCCCTTCAAGGATGTCACCATCGTGCATGTGAGCGTGGAGGACGTGGACGAGCCCCCGCTGTTTGACTTGCCAGCGTACTACATCGAGCTGTCAGAGGATGCTGAGATCGGGACGGTGGTGAAGACGGTGTCAGCGAGGGATCCCGATGCTGCCAACAACACTGTGAGGTTAGGAGAACAACAAAACACTGTCTAGGCTTAATACTGTTTTTCTAGCGTCACTCATTGTTTTCAACTTATTTTCCTGTTGCAAAATTTCAGATTTAGCTTCACTGCAAACATACTTATTGTACATGTTATTTGCAAGTTGCGTGAGTCACCGTTTATTGTCCAAATAGGCAATGAAATACACAAAATACACCAAAGAAAGTAACCTCAAAAGCACATCATGTCAATCCAAAAGTCTAAAGTGAAAGTGTACAGCAGCTGTGTAAACTGTTGTACCTTTTAAAATTTATTTGGAATAAATATATGTTTTAGAAATGTCTAACCTTGTCCAGAGACTAACCTCAACCTGAACCAGTCTGTGAGGACCTCAGCAGCCATAAACCAAACAAACTCGAAACACTCTCAAGACCAAAAGGGCAGGGTAACCATGGTAACAAAGTTCCTCTTTCAGATTACCTCAGCCATCAAAGACCCCCCTTTTTTAGTCTTGATTCTCTACCCTACCAAAGAGCCACTAATTTGCCCTCTACCTTGTTGTGAAACTGGTGAGAAAAGTCAGATGCCAGGAAGGACAACCCCAAATTCCTTTGTGTGGACAAATGAATATTGTCTCCTTATAAACTTCCCTATCACCTTGTTTGAATTAAATAATCTTTGTTAAGTTACTTAGTAGTTCTCACAACTTCAATTTGAGTAGTTCTATTACCATTTTCAAGAAGGAACCATAAATAAGTTAATTTTGCAGTGTTTTAATCTTCACCAATGCTCACTGTCCTTTCTGCATTTAATTTGTTGCAGCTTTCTTCCCAGCACCTTTATATACTTTCTTAGAAATTATATGATACAGAAATATTATCATGTGTTGAAATAACCAATTTTCCTAGCTCCTGAGCAAGGATTGAGTTAAATGTAAGTAAATAATCAGAGGATCCTTTGTCCCCTCATGGAACCAGTGTCTCCCCAGAGAACAAAATAAGTATTGCATGTTGTTTTAATGCCTCTCCTTGTGCTTTTAATGTATTTTATTGTTCGTAATCTGATGCCAAATTCGTATAACTTGCTTATATACTCTCTAAGTAAGAACGTTTAACAGCCAGTATTATCCAGGAAGTATTTAGTTAAGATGCTCTTTCATCTGCTGTCATCCCTACGAAATGTTTTACCTATTATCATATTTAACGATTGACAATAACTTCCTTTCCTTTTATCAAATGCTTAAAAACTAAGAACATTATAACTGTTTATGACATTTAAGGTTTGATTGTGGAAGGTATTTGATTTGAAAACATGCAAATAGAACATATTAAAGTAAGGCACAAAAGCCTCAGAGGAAACAAGGGCCCTCCCACTGAGATACGCCCCAGGAGCCAAAACACAGCGCCACACATGCACTCTTACCTGTTCTCTTCTTGCTCTCGGTGCTCTGCACGCTTACAGAGCGTGCTCCGTGTCCAAGCATTGTCCATGAAACTTTCTTTGGCTGTGTGCGAAATCCCCACTCATTCACTACTCCCTACCCCCTCATGTGTAGTGCACTATATAGGGAGCTCACTCGCATTATTAAAACAACACTTTCGGACACTACCACGATCGTTATTTATGCGCCATTAATTGCCTCATTGCCGTCGGACAATCGCTTTTTTAAGTGCAATGCATGATGGTATGTAGGGTTTGGTTAGTGACCATCGGTTGTACACTACTTTTCAAAATGCATTCTGGGATACATTGAGTGGACTATATAGGGTATAATAATTCTCACTATACATTCGGACAGCACTACAAAATGGCGAGCTCACTATATAGTCCACTATATAGTGAGTAGTGGGTGATTTCGGACAGACTTTGTCTTCTAGCAACGTACTTAGCCATCTTCATGCAAACCTTCGTTGAATTTACTTTGTTTTGTTTTGTTGGTTAAGAGTTATCAGACCGTTTAAGGCAAGCGACTTTGAATTCAGGAACAACCAAGTTCCCTTTTTAAGCTTTATTTTAGTCAAGCTGTGTGGCGTGCCAAGCCACGGAGGCCCTGACCACACAAACGAGCCAAGCCGACAGTGAGCCTTTGCTAGACGGTAGAAAAACTGACAACACGCAGTAAGGCTAAAACAAACTACATTCTGTGGTCGAGGTGATGTCCTTTATTTTTAATCCTTAATCATTTTAGCCAAATTTAACTTAGTTATTATCATAAATTTCATTCATTCGTTCCCTTGTTCTCTCACACTCAAATTCTTTCCACAATAGACAACTAAATTCACATTGAACTTCATCATTCTCACTGATTTGTTTGTTTAGTGATTGTTTTATTTCTTTGATATATTCAACCTCATGGTGTATTCACTTTACTTAATTTAATCACAGGAACTGTGTGTGTGTACTGTTTAAATCCAAGTCACTGGATTCACGACTTTGATAAGAGACTGACTGATTGATTAATCTGACTATGATTAGCAGTTGTTGACTAACTGATCAATAGTGAATAATTGTGTAATTATTAAAGCTATACCCATGGAGTCTTAAAGCCTTGGGCGGACAGCAAATTTTAGTTGGTGCCCCCAGTTTTATGAATTAATATTTCCAAATATTCATATTCATAATTTTAATAACCAATAAATATGTAGGTTCACTACAATAGTAAATAAGGACCTCGTGAAAAGGATCATATGGATTTGACAGGTGCTTCAATTAAAGATGCCAATAACAGTAAAAGAGTTTGGCGACTGCTTAGCAGCTGTCATTAAGTTTTATTATGATAATAGCTAATTCCAGAATATATCTCATCAATATCCAAATAAAATGAGTTCCAATAACTTAATTTATGCATAAAAACACATAAAAGTTAGATGGAGCATTTTAAGAGCCTCACTTCCTGAGAGTGAGCCACTTGTCCTGGGTGTTTTCCTGGATTTCTCCCAATGCTTGCTGGGAACGGCTCTAATGCCAGTAAAGCATTACTGAGTAAAGCAAATGATCTGTTGTTAGAGCATTACATTTAGATAAATTTATTAATCCAAAGCAATTTACCAAGAGTTGTGTTTCTTGCTCCAAGTGGGGATCAAACGATGTAGATATTGGGTGGTGATGGAGCAGTGGATAAGACACATGCCTTTGGGGCGAGAGAACCGGGTTCAATGCCTCAGTTTTTCACATCCACATATACCGCAATTGTTAAGTCGCTTTGGATAAAACGCTTAAATGTAAATGTAATGTCACATGATAACCAGCAGGGGGCAGCATCACAACATGACTCCTCGTTGCAGACTTTGACTGCAGGCTCTTGAGTATAGCAACATGACTGAGGCACCATTTATCAATATGTGTGTTTAAGAGCTCCATGAGGATGTGGAGGACAATCATAATGTTAATAACAACCCTGACAAGTTCCACCATCCAGCAATTAGTCGACACACAGAGACCAGAAGCTGAGGACTTTCGCTTCTCTTAGTTTGTGAAGAATATGATTTGTGCTCTAACAGAACAGATGTCGCGTGGTGGGTTTACTGTCCAGACTGCACCTCTCATAAACTAATTAGACATAAAGCCTTTAATTAGGCTATTAATCATCTGAAGGAATCAATGACAGCAGTAAATGAGAGTTTCACATGGCACAGGCTGCACCCCGTCCCAGCTGTCCGTTTTACAACCTCGATTAGGGCCAAAAGTAGTGCACAGGAAGTTGATGTAGGTGACATGGTGTCTGTGTGTGTTGAGTGTGTGTGGAGTGTGTGTTTGCTGCTGAACTGCAGTTCATCTCAAGTGCTGCATCTGATATTTCTTCTTCACTCAGTCACTATTTACTACAAAACAATCAATAGTGAACAGTCATCATTTCCCCCTCCCCTGATAGTAAAGTGTTGCATATCTGTAATTTAACCATCAAAAAGCAAATCATTGCATTGGGATGTTTAGCAAAAAGTAGGGCACATGCTGTGGACATTTTCCCTTACATTATGGGAATTTATGAAGACGAAGCGCTTACAAATTTCACACCTGCTGAGTTTTTGTGCTATGGAGCAGTTCTTCTATGAGTGGGTCCGAGTTTTGTTTAAATGCACTGCATGCAGATGACCCAACACACATTCCTGCCAATGGTGTCACACTAGTCCACTGCTCACTTGGTGGCAATGACATGCAAAGATATGCTGCACTGTGCCAGCAAAGGCAGAGACGATCAAGAAGAAGCATTAAGCAAGTAAACATGGATGTAAACAATGCCGAATTTAAAATACATACAATGTGATTTGTTTCTCCCGCCAAAACATCTGCCGGCTTGTTTGCTCACTTGACTTAAAAAGTTTTTTTTTTTTAAAGAAAAGTGCTTTTACTTTTACTTGCTTGTGTGTGCAATCACAACCGCTGCAGCTTCCTCTGCCTCCGTTTTCACAAGTTTGAAAATAGGTTTGTTGTCCCTCCCATTCCGCTACGTAGCCAAGATGTGTTGAGGGTGAGAAGTGTGTTAAAAGAGTGTTCCACACTCAACTTTTTTCAACCATTATGAGTACACAATCTTTGCACTGCATTGCAAAAAAATATTGCAGATCCTGAATTGAGACACAGCCTTGATCTTTTTTTTTTTAAGGTTCTATGTTTCTTTTTTTCAATTTCTGTGTCATTGTTATACGTTTTTAGTATATTTAGTATTTTGCATTTAGTATACACAAAAACTGATATTCTCATCCAGATAGTTTGTCTGCTATTGGTATCTAAATTTAAATTTCTTTACTAAATTGTAATACATATTGATGCCAAACTCTAAAATGACATCTCAAGATCATGAGAATTTTCTACCACCTTAAATATCCCTTAACCCTTGAGAATGTTATTAGATATTCCCAGCCTCCAGGTTGAGAACCACTGCTCTAAACTCTTTGATGCTTGAGGAGCTCCGCTGATGACAATTAACCGCCAACTCCCTGGATTCGTGGAGAGAGAGAGGGAATCAGAGCAGTCAGCCACTGATGCAGCTAAAGCTCCAATCTGAATCCCCAGAGCTGGCGCTGTATTCTGACGGTGAATCACTGAGAGATTTTCAAAAAGCCGGTGTGGAGCATAAGGGGGGTTACAGCACAAGCAGCAGATAGCTGAGGAATCAGTTGAGGATGACAGTGAAGCGCTGAGGCCAGATACTGCAGCAGCAACAACAACAACATCAGATGACAGATAACAAGCAGCAGGTGACCTTCAGTCTCTCTGTCTGTCTCATTGCCATTTTACATCTTTCTGTCCTTTACCGACAGCAGCATGACTGGCAGATATATCCGAACCCACACAAGCACGTGGCCCACACACACACATTCTTTCACCTGCTACTTGACACACACACACACAGTAGCCCCTCCTCATGACTGTGGAGGAGTGATATTAATAGAGATCCTTCAGGGAGATTCTTGCCAGCCGTGGATGTGCCAGTCACGACTGTTCCCTTTTGGCACATAGTCCGAAACACACACTGCAAACAACCCTACAGACTGACATCACACACACACACTACTGCTAAAATGACTCTATTTTATCAGTTTGCCAATGTCAGTCTTTTATTATACGATTAATGGTGAGTTTTGTATGTTAATTAGTCACTTAAAGACAGTTCAGTTTGTTGCAGACGTTCCCTTCAAGTAAAATCTTGTCAGAAGGACCCTGCTAAGTCCAAAAAATTTAGGTTACTGGTTTTGAAAGGTGAGTTTTAGTGGTTCATGATGCTTAAAGCTGCTGCTTAAGATAATTCCACCCTCACAAGATAACCACAGTTTCACATCTAGCACATCTTTAGCATGAAAGACTGAATTAACTTCAGTGTGAAACATCAGTTATTGTTCAAATATAGGCGTCAGCTTTTAAAAATCGGGTTTAGTTTAAGATAGAAATGTCCCTGAAAACCATGCAGGCCAAAACATGTGATGAGAAAGAGAGATCTGCCCAATAAGAAGACCTTGTAGTTTGAATTTCTTCTCAGGACATACACAGGAGATTTGTGACAGACTGAACGTTTATAACTTTTTGAGAATCTTGAGAATCCTGAAGTTTAGAAAGAAACGCTCTACTCTTCTCTTATTCTGAGTTGTAACTCAACTTTAGGTTGCCAGAAGCGAGTTTCAGAAGACACAAAAGAACAAATGAAACAATTAATCCACATGACTGGGCTTAAAGCAACACACAGACTGCACTCATCACTGCTATAATCACATAAAAACTTTACACGTATTGCCTTTAATGTGCTGATTATCCCAAAGGTTACATATTTAGTTTGCTCCTTTTATCCAAACAAAAACTGTGATGTTGCTTTTCGTCATTTTCTTGTTTAAAGGATCTTTTTACTAATACAGTCATGGTTTAATCCATAAATCTTTAGAAGACAAATGCCCCATTGCGGCAGTCTCAGAAAACAAAGGTGTGTCTTTAGTTTGCTAATTTTGTCTAAATTTACAAAAGACAAGCAAATCACAATTTAGAAGCAGGACAGAGATCATGATCGGCACTTTTGCTCGGTAAATGACTTAAAACAACACATCATTTTGATTATTCTCTAATCAGTAAAGGGGCCCCTTGTTGGAAGTGATTTGGTGTGATGCAGACATCATCATACACACTTTAACTCCAGGTGAGAGGAGACTGAAGCAACTACAGGAGAATTCACTCCAACACAGGACACCTCATGGTTAATGGTTTCTGCTCCACAGCCTGGAAGAATATGTGCTCTACATTCTCCTGCTTCTCTGGCTGTTGCATGTTGCTCTCAGAAGAGTGTTTTTGAAAACGGCCTGCGGTGGCAGGAGACGAGCCAAGGCGGCACGCTGCAGGTTTGTGTATCCCCAGCGTCAGCTTGGCAGAGGAGGCAGATACACTGATTAAGCCTTATCTGGAGCCTCTTCTTCTTCTTGTGCCTTCAGAAGCTGCCAGCCTGCCGCCTTATCGCACACACACACGGTGCACATGCTGGACTGTGTATGTGCGCACGCTTTCCCCTTCAGATAGGATTACAAGCTCCCAAAAACACACAGGTGCACTTTATTCAACGCAGATACTTCACACGACACGTGTCATTTCGTGTCACCAGGTATTCCATCGAGAGGTCCAGCGACCCCGAGAAGTTCTTCTACATCGAAATCACTTCTGGGTCGCTGATGACAGTGCGTCCACTGGACCGAGAGGAGATTGGCTGGCACAACATAACAGTCCTCGCCATGGAGATGAGTATGTCACACACACACACACACGTTTGTTCCCTTATCCCTGTGGGGACATCTCATGACATAATGCAGGAGTTTTCAAAGTGTGAGGCGGGCCTCCCTAGGGGGGGTCCGAACAGTTTCAGGGGAGGCTCAGTGAATGGTGAAGTGAAATAATATTACGTTATTTATTGCATTACTTATCAAAAGGAGATCACATAGAATAGCCTACATATGTGAGAGTTCAGAGATACAGTAGTTTTTGGGAACTGTTTTCCCCCATCAAAGTCAGAAACTAATAAATGCCTTAGCCTTTTTTAAAACTATTTGGTGTAGTCAGAAGTTGTGTCAAACAGCAATATTAGGCTGAAAATGATCCCTTAGGCATCCAGGAATTGAGCAAAACTTACCAAGTTTACTAAAGATGTGGTGGAGGGGGCACCATTTCCCAAGATTTGTCTGAGGGAGGCTCACAGTCTCAGACTTTAAAAACCCCTGACATAATTTACAGGTGCTGGTCATATAATTAGATTTATTTCAGTAATTCCATTCAAAAAGTGAAACTTGTATAATGTATACATTCATTCATTACAGACTGATATATTTTAAGTGTTTATTCCTTTTCATTTTGATGATTATAACTGACAACTAATGAAAACCCCAAAATCAGTATCTCAGAAAATTAGAATATTGTGAAAAGGTTCAATATTGAAGACACCTGGTGCCACACTCTAATCAGCTAATTAACTCAAAACACCTACAAAGGCCTTTAAATGGTCTCTCAGTCTAATTCTGTAGGCTACACAATCATGGTGAAGACTGCTGACTTGACAGCTGTCCAAAAGACGACCATTGACACCTTGCACAAGGAGGGCAAGACACAAAAGGTCATTGCTAAAGAGGCTGGCTGTTCGCAGAGCTCTGTGTCCAAGCACATTAATAGAGAGGCGAAGGGAAGGAAAAGATGTGGTAGAAAAAAAAGTGTACAAGAAATAGGGATAACCGCACCCTGGAGAGGATTGTGAAACAAAACCCATTCAAAAATGTGGGGGAGATTCACAAAGAGTGGACTGCAGCTGGAGTCAGTGCTTCAAGAACCACCACGCACAGACGTATGCAAGACATGGGTTTCAGCTGTCGCATTCCTTGTGTCAAGCCACTCTTGAACAAGACACAGCGTCAGAAGCGTCTCGCCTGGGCTGAAGACAAAAAGGACTGGACTGCTGCTGAGTGGTCCAAAGTTATGTTCTCTGATGAAAGTAAATTTTGCATTTCCTTTGGAAATCAAGGTCCCAGAGTCTGGAGGAAGAGAGGAAAGGCACAGAATCCACGTTTCTTGAAGTCCAGTGTAAAGTTTCCACAGTCAGTGATGGTTTGGGGTGCAATGTCATCTGCTGGTGTTGGTCCACTGTGTTTTCTGAGGTCCAAGGTCAACGCAGCCGTCTACCAGGAAGTTTTAGAGCACTTCATGCTTCCTGCTGCTGACCAACTTTATGGAGATGCAGATTTCATTTTCCAACAGGACTTGGCACCTGCACACAGTGCCAAAGCTACCAGTACCTGGTTTAAGGACCATGGTATTCCTGTTCTTAATTGGCCAGCAAACTCGCCTGACCTTAACCCTATAGAAAATCTATGGGGTATTGCGAAGAGGAAGATGCGATACGCCAGACCCAACAATGCAGAAGAGCTGAAGGCCACTATCAGAGCAACCTGGGCTCTCATAACACCTGAGCAGTGCCACAGACGCCGCATTGCTGCAGTAATTCAGGAAAAAGGAGCCCCAACTAAGTATTGAGTGCTGTACATGCTCATACTTTTCATGTTCATACTTTTCAGTTGGCCAACATTTCTAAAAATCCTTTTTTGTATTTGTCTTAAGTAATATTCAAATTTTCGGAAATACTGAATTTGGGATTTCCATTAGTTCTCAGTTTTAATCATCACAATTAAATGAAATAAACATTTGACAACAGATGGGTGAATATAAAGTACTTTCACAAATACAGACCTGCAGAGTTACATAATGTAGAGCAGGAGATGCCCTGCAGATCTGCACACAGCTGGTGGCACCGAAAGTCACCTTCACCCCCCTCCCTCTGTTTTGTTTGTCTGTTTGTCTCTTTGCTTGGTAGACACACCTAAAAGGAGATGGTAATTTAATTAATGACCAATTTGATCACTTTTTGCATGGTCGCTAAATATAGATGTGATGGAGAGGGCAAGAGAGGACACAGGTTGGAAGGGATGGAGAGAGAGAGAAATGTGACAGAAACAGTGTGGAGGAGGGAAATTAGCTGGAACAAAGTACAGCTGATTGATTTGCTTATGTAAATAAGCAACATGAAATAAAACATTAAATTTACAATTCACTCGCGTAATTCACTCAATTCCAGTAAGTTAACGTCTCATGTAATGAAGTTACTCCTCTGCACCCTGTACCCCCTGTACCCTTCGCAGCACCAACTGTAGCGACAGTTTGCTGCCCTACAACTTGGCTAACATTAGTTACATTGCTCTATATCATGGTATTTTTCCTGGAATTGGATTTCTACAGAATTGCTAACTTACTTACCTTTACAAACATCGTCTCTCATCCTTTTCACATTCTCGGTGAAAGATCAATAGAACAAAACTGTCATTTGTTAAAGCAACTCAATAAATTTTTTCTGTGATTTTCACACCACTGCCTTCCCTTCACTCGTGAAACGTCAGCAAAATTACAGCACTTTTGTTTTAAGTGCTTCTTTCTGACCATCAAACACACACACAGAGCTTCGACCTCCAGAGCCAAAGTCACACCATTGATTGATCGATCATGTGATGAAACCTGAGAAAGTAGTTACTACCCACTAATTGTATTTCTATTGCCTATTACACAGCTGGTTAAGATATGCAGATTGCTGATTGGTAATGGAGAATAATAGTATTGTAATCTAAGCTTGAGAAACCCTAAAGGGGCCGCAGGCCTGCTGTAAATGAGCGGAAGATTAAGAGTCGCACAAACTGAACTCAGCAGGATCCTAGAGTCATTTATCAGACTCCGTCAATGTATCTCACAGCCTCTGACCAATTTTTGCATCTACTGTATGTGTTTGTGTGTTCCTGCAGATAACCCCACACAGATCTCGAGTGTGTCGGTGGCTGTTAAGGTCCTGGACGTGAATGATAATCCTCCCTCGCTGACGCACTACTTGGAGGCTTATGTGTGTGAAAACGCCAAAGCAGGGCAGGTACAGAGACACCAAACGTCTGATGCGACAACATTAAACATGACTGCCTGAAGAATGATACAGTAGCAGAAATAAGTACATTTACACAAGTGCTATACGTAAATACAAAGTTTGAGGTGCATTTTACTTCACCAAACTCCAGAGGAAAATAAAAAACTTTACTCCACTACATTTATTCGATAAAAAATGTACATACAAAATATATTATCATCTTCAAAAATATGATGCTTTGTTATAGATTAAGCTCCCAACAGTATATTGAAATTAACTCCAGCTAAACCAGCTACAACGTTAAGCGCTGCTTACACATGAATAAATCAGTAAAAGAGATAATAATCTACTCTTAAACATACTAAACGGGGCTATTCAGTGGTTTTACTTCTCATACTTACTTTTATACTTTGAATTAGTGTCTTTCTTCTACTGGGATAAAACTCTGTGTCTGTTGATGTAATCCAGCTGATCCAAACTGTGACGGCGGTGGACCCAGATGAGCCGCTGGGCGGACAACACTTCTACTACAGCTTATCTCCGGAGGTCGCCAACAACCCCAACTTCACCCTGAGAGACAACCAAGGTAGATTAAACACTCTCCACCTCCCCTGCAAATATCATGATGGTTGTGTTTTTCTAGCCTGTACAGTAGAACATACCCATTTAGGTTAAAGGTGGACAGAAAATCATTGTCTAATTATAGCACTGCTTTGCAGGATCAAAAGATCATCAGTTTTCACAGTTTTCTCCTTGTGGAAGAGGACTCCTGAATTACAATAATCAATCCTTCTCTCATCTTACATCACCAGAAACTGTGCTTTTATCTGCCATACTGCACATACTCTTTATTACTATTCTCTGAAATGTATAACTTGTCAATTTTTATATGGATATATTTTATGTTTATTGTTATGCACCAAGTCACCAAAGCAAACTCCTTGCATGTGTAAACCTACTTGACAATAAGGCCGGTTCTGATTTAGATTTTGCTCAGTTTCAGCTAGGAGGACAGCTCCCATATGGTCTAGCGGTTAGGATTCCTGGTTTTCACCCAGGCGGCCCGGGTTCAACTCCCGGTATGGGAACAATGTTTATCTTTGGCCTTCTTTACACCTGCGTTAACGTCCATCTTGAGTGATCCAATCACAAGTGGATATCTCTAAGTAAAGGTATGAATACTTTGAGGCCACATTTGGAGGTGGTCAGTCGGATTGGCCCACATTGTTTTCAGTGTGTATAGAAATGTGTCCTGGGCTACATTGAAGGACCACCTACTGAACTCACGTCCGTTGTGTTAGAGGAAGCATGTACTCGTCACTCACAAACGGCGTCATATTGAAATGCAAAAACAACAAGAAGAAGCTTGAACAGATGAAATGGGTTCTTTTGGATGGAGTCCAATTCCTCGAACAAGGAATGGAACCAGTCTGTATTGTTTTGATTTTGCCCACACACAAATTTCTAATGCCAGGTGTGAACTGACGTACTTGCGACCGGATCACCCAAGAAACATGTTAATGCCCGGTGTAAACAGGGTCTTTGTTGTATTTTTATTAATTACATTAACCATACATTTATATCTCTTTGTGAAGCTTTCGAGTAAACGCTACGCTACTCTACCCTGTGCCTGCGTTTGCATAGTTCTCTTGTGTTTTCTGTGTTGTAGCTAACTTATCTCTTTTTTTATAAACACATGATTGTATCTTTAAATCAAAGAACCAGATATTGGTTTCCTTTGCTGGATAAGATACAGGAAATGACGGAAGAGAAAGAGTAGGGATGACTTGCAACAAAAGATGCTGTGATTATGTGGTCAGCGTCACCTGAAACTCTAAAAGCTTTAGCCAGTTTGCTTTGGAAGAACAGTGTCCTCTTCATTTTTCTGAAAGCAATTAGCAGAGTCGTCCTGTGATAGATGGGCGATCTGTCCAGGGTGTACCCCGGCTTTTGCCCGACGTCAGCTGGGATTGGCTCCGCCCCCCCACGACCCTGTATGCAGGATAAGCGGTTGACGATGGATGGATGGATGGATGGATGGATGGATGGAATTAGCAGAGTCCCTCCAAATCTGACTAAATCATCTATGGAGTGGCACAAGCACTGTGTGTCCCATATGGTCTAGCGGTTAGGATTCCTGGTTTTCACCCAGGCGGCCTGGGTTCAACTCCCGGTATGGGAACTGTGTAATTTATTTCCGTTAGCATTCATTACGCACCCCTACGCTCTCGTACCACAGTATAAGTTAGACCTCAACCCTGTAATTACATCTCACAGTAGTAATTAGACCTCTATATAGGTACCGAACTGTAACTGCTGCGAAAATGTCACATATAGCACCTTTATCCGTCTGTCAAGTCTCTGTTAGAGTCCAGCTATAACCCCTGAAGGCTTTTACTGATTCACTCTAGAATATCAGCACCCGTTTCATCCTAAACTTCATTGACTGGTCACTGTGTAAAGTGTTAAAGAATATTCTTAGGTAAGACAGGTCCAGCTTAGAGACGTTTGCTGACCCCACAAGTGTTCACTGACCTTCCAGCTCTAGTTATTTCTCACATGTAACTGTCCTTGTTAGGGAGACGACAGTTAGATTGAGAAGGTCGAGACAGTAGCTCAGGCGTCAGGCTAGCAGATGTCGGTGTTCTCTGGGACTTTTACAAGGTTGAGTCTTACAAGAATGTTGACAAGAACTCACTGGCTCCACAGATTAGAGTCCAACTCATGGAATAAAATAGATTCCAGTATGACGAAGCGTTGGAGTCTAAACATCAGATAGATTAGTTGTTCTAGGTTAAAGATGAGCTAATAGTGAAAACCTACAGGCACTAGCGGGAAGACAGAAACATAAAAGGGACCAAAAGATGTCATGCTTCAGATTTGGTGTTGGCATTTGTCGTGTTCACATGCTGGCACTGTCTCCAGGGCTCAATAAACCATGCTATGTTAAGTCTTCATCAGTCTCCAAAACTCTTCACACCTGAACCTGACTCACAATATTTCTTCAACATAAAGTACTCTACTTAAAGTATAGTTTTCCCGTATGATCTAGTGCTTAGGATTCTTGGTTTTCACCCAGGTGGCCTGGGTTCAACTCCCGGTATATGAAAAATACAGGAAAGTGATTTATTTCGTTCAGGTGTAGCTCAATGAGGACACAGAGGTCATATTGTTGTTGTTTGTAATTACACATGGTTGTTTTTTGAGGCTGACATTTGAGACAAAACGCTGTTTTTAGTCAATTTAATGGATTGATTAATTCAAATATTATGAAGGATGAAGATGAGTGTGGGGAAGGCTATGATCATGTAAGAGGTTAAAAGCTAAAGAAAATATTAGTTACAGTTAACTGAATAAAGAACATTTAAAATAGTAAGGTATTAAAACAACAAGGAATGAAATTGCTCATAAAGCACCAATCATCACTTCATCTTCACAGCTGTACAAATCGTTAATTCTCACTATCTCCCCCAACTCCCATGACTCTGCTCATTCAGTTACGTTTTATGAACTTGAATAGACACTGAACCCCGTTATCTGTCAAAGTCAGCTGTTGCAGAATAAGCGATCTTAGCGCAAATGATTTCAAATATACATACATTAACTCAACCTTTCCCTGACCTCTTTGTCTCTTTCAGACAACACAGCGTGGATCCTGACGCGGCGCGGAGGCTGGTCACAGCAGGACCAGACCGTCTTCTACTTGCCCATCTTCATCTCTGACGGCGAGCAGCCGGTCCAGACCAGCACCAGCACTCTGACCATCCGCGTGTGCAGTTGTGACCAGGAGGGCAACGTCATGTCGTGCAACGCCGAGGCGTACAGCCTGCCCGCAAGCCTCAGCAGAGGAGCACTCATCGCCATCCTGGCCTGCATCTTTGTCCTGCTGGGTGAGTTATGACCTGCTGCTGTGAGGATGTGCAGAGAGGAGCCAGGGGCCTTTTGTGATATTTAATCTGAAATAGTGTCAGCTAAAATGTAGCCTTGGTTTAGGCTTGACCTTAGTTACCATTGCTACGCCTGTCAAGCTTTTCTTGCACAGCGCATATTCAGTTTACAATGATGGCAACCTTGGCAGATTCACAATTCTTAGTCATTTTTCAGACAATCTGTCCTTGATTTTATGAAAATACAAACAAAAGCAGATTTCTCAGTTCAAGCCAGTGATCATCAGTTTGCCAGCTGAAATGGCAAATGTCACTGCCGCAGCTTTTTTTTTCTCTATAGGATTCTACACACATTTATTATTGGGTACAGTACATACACGGTTATACTGCAAAGGAAATACAAGTATGTGGCAGTGTGAGGGGGTGGCTGTGGCTCAGAGGGTAGAGTGATTGTCCACTAACTGGAAGGCCGGTGGTTCGATCCCCAGCTCCCCCAGTCTGCATGTTGAGGTGTCCTTGGGCAAGATAGCTCCCAGTGGCGTAGCCGTGAATGTGTGTATTTCTGTGCAGCGGGTGGCTGCAAGAGATAAGATTTGATTGAATTTTTTATCTGTTTATAATACACTTTATAAAATTAGGAGTCTAGAGTTTGAAATAAAACAATGGAATTAGTATGTATGTATGAAAATGCATGTCAATAGGAACTTATCTAACAACATTTAATTAATATACTTAATAAAAATAAACAACATTTTAAGATATAATTAAAAATTGCTGGCAAGATAGAACAAGTTTTCATTGTTATCAGTGACATTATCATCTAATAAAACACTCGAAAGCATAATCATCACTTATTGCATATTTGATATATTTAACAAACATCATTGAAAAATCCATTGTAATCCGAATTATTGTTGTTTCTATTCAAAACAAAGCTCACATTCACAGCGAGCGAAGATTTTTTGCAAAACGTATTGCTGCCTCTCGGGGGAGCAGAGTGAGTCAACCTGCTGAGCCCTCTTGCTCACATTTACAGGTCTGCAGGGAGAGATAAAGTGGGTCCATAACAGGCCTTCAGGAGAAAATAAAGTTGGATGTTACAGGGCAGCAGGTGCTAATGAATGCTAGACTTTTGCCAGGATGCAAAAAGAAAGCCATATTTAATCCTGCACCCATTATGTCACACTGGGCTTTAGCAGGCTGCATCAATGCTCCTGTGGTATCTCCCTTTTCAAAGTGAGAATATCTTACTCGTAAGTGTTGAGTTTGAGGACAGGAGATTATTGTGTTTAAGACAAACTTTTGCCCCAAGACAAACTCAAGTGCGCTACTCCCTCTACTGCTGCACACCCCTTTAACATCTTGGTCTTGTGTGGTAAGTGTGTGCTCAGAAAACAGCCACTTCTGAGGTAATAAAATATTTGAAATAATATCTTGATGACATATTCATTAGTTTGACCTGAGCAGTACATTTTGTGTTTATTTTCTGCTTCTGCTGCAAGGTTGATTTTAGACTAGAGGAGATATCTCACAAATACTTAAAAGTAGCACGCTCACTAGCCGAAAGGTCAGGGTGTAAAACAAAGTGCTGCAGTGATTTTAATCAAGGCCCACTGCTGCCCGAGGCTAGCCCTCAGTACTTTCACATTCTACTACATACAGTACATTTAAAGTGCAGTCTGACCTGGAAAATGTTTTCTAACTAGACTGCGTGACATTTTTCTCAATGCACGAGTCTTCAAGCTTGGCATGTAATGAAGCATTTATCCAATGTGAGACAAGCCATTAAACGTCATTTGCACAAGCAAGGCTGTTGTCATGCCAGCTTTCAGGTCCTGTCAGACAAACTTAAACTTTAGTCCTTACAGTCAGTGTACGTGTTCAAACGAAGGCAGTAACAATTAAAAAAAAAATGTCATTAAATTGATCTAGAAAAAATGTGAAAAATGCTCAGCAAAGTTCTCACAACAGTGATACCATCTTATCGCTGGTTTTGTCTGACCAACAGTCCAAACCCCAAAGATATTCAATCTTCAATTATATAAAACAGAGAAAAGCAGCATATTTTCATGTGAAAGAAGCTGAAGCCAGTGAATGTTTGTTGTTGTTTCTTGATAAATGACTTAAAGCTGAGGTAGGCAACTTTGAAGAACTAGCAAGAGACAGCTAGGTTTTGAAAAATCTGACTGCCTGCCTTCAGGCCTCCCTCCAAATACACTCCCCCAAAACACATTTCCACGTGCAATGACTGCACGGGCAGAGTGCGTGCAGGTAGGTAGACAGGCAGGTTGGCCAGCCATTCATTGCCTTGCTTATTATAGTCCTGTGACAGACACAGATACTGGATTGTTGTCTCTTTTTGTGTCAGAGCATTTGATTTATTGATTTCTGTCAGGATGTAAAGAGAATTAACAAATAGTAAACGGTTAATGAAATAAAATTGCCTATCCCAGCTTTAATGCATTAAACAATTAGCAAAATGATTAGTTAAAACTTCATCTGATCTATAAGAACCTAAGATGCTTCTTCTTTGCAAAAGCATGTTTTGCTTCCAATTGAAAGTACATAAAAAACATCGACTCTAGATATGCTGACTGTTTTGATCTCTTCCTTTGACCAGTGATGATTCTACTCATGCTTTCCCTGCGCACCCATCGTAAGAAGCCCTACCTGTGTGACGAGGAGGAAAATGTCCACGAGAACATTGTGCGCTATGACGATGAAGGTGGCGGAGAGGAAGACACTGAGGCCTTCGATATCGCCGCAATGTGGAACCCACGTGAGGCGCACCATCACCTGGGCAAGATGAGACAGGACATGCTGCCAGAGATTGAAAGCCTGTCACGTTACGTCCCTCAGGCGTGCGTCATGGGCGGTGGCGGGGATAGTAACGTTCACGGATATGTGCTGGCGAAGCTCCTGGAGGCCGACATGGACCCATGCGCCCCACCTTACGACTCCCTGCAAACCTACGCCTACGAGGGGGAAGGTTCGGTCGCTGAGTCGCTCAGCTCGCTCCAGTCGGGGACATCCAGTGCCGACCATGAGTATGACTATCTCAACGACTGGGGGCCTCGGTTTAAAAAACTCGCCGAGATGTATGGCGTACTGGAGACAAACAGTGCTCCAATGTGGTAGAACACCTGAACCTTTGCCTTTTTAATTTGAGATAAATTACATGAACAAAAAGATAAAAGAGACAAAAACATCAGAGAAGTGACACAAAAAGTGTGCAAGAAAGACACAAAAAGCTGGGATGTGTTCACGTTCACATCCATGACAGTTAGCACTTGAATTCCTGCCGAAGCCTTGGTTCTCCGCAGCCTTGAAGGCCTGAGATGCCCGCAGCAGCAGTGTGAGCTGGTTTTAAATCTCCCCCAGAGACGGGCTGGATTGGCAGCCTCATGAGGCCCGCAAAGGAACGGCTTCAAAGCACATGTTAACTCCCCCGCCTGACCCACCCACAGGCAGAGCCCCTTTGGTTCAAAGTGTCAGAGATGAAAACAAGAGCGAGAGAGAGACTACCTTACTCACAGCAACACAGGAGACAAACTCTGAAATGCTGATCCACTGCTCTGAGTTTGGGCTTTTATACGACCCAAGTCAAAGCGAAAGCGAGAAGTCATTGCTGCGATCGCAGATGTGGGTTTTTTTTGGTTCATCTGTGGCAGGTCTTAATTTATTTCTTTGTTTCATGTGCTGTATTTATATTTGTTGCTAACTTATTTGGGTACTTCAAACCAACACTGTAGTTAAACTTTCGCTTTGTGAGGTATTGTAACATACATGATGTAATTGCCCTTGTTTCAGTCTGTGTGATGGAGTTTTTCCATCTCTAAATGTCACGTGACATGCACAGGAGATGGCAATGTGTAATCCCATATGGGTTTTCCCGGTTGATATGTTTTTTGTATCATTGTTTTTGTATAATTTTTGAGCTATTTGTATTGTAACTCTGTTTTTTCCCCAAAAACATTAAGCAATTAGACAGTCATGAGGATATGATGGAGGCCATTTTTGAAAATTTTTTGATGGAACTGGATACATCCCAGCAGAGAGAGTCAAATTCTCAAGCGGAAAGTTCTGCACATCACCCCCGTACCTGGACTGGCACATGACCGAGTCGCCTTTCATTTCGGATCTACCACCGTGCCAACCAGAGTCCGACGGCAATGAGGCTTGATCTGTCCTGTCAGAGATAATGTGTTGCTTTTCTGCCACCACACAAATGTGGCTTAATCCTCCAATCATGTGGACTTCAGAGACATTGATAATCTGCATTAAGTGCCAAATGTAAAAAGGACAAAAAAAAAAGACGTTTTTGGATGAAAAAAACTAAACAGCAAAACACAAACACCAAAAAATAAAAATGGATTTTACAAACTGCGAGGGAAGAAGATACATTTTGATAATTTGATTGATTGAAGTTTACTTGAAATCTATGTGGTCAGTCATACTACAGTAAGTGGTATGTGAATGTAGATATTTTTTGTATTCTTGGTAATAAAAAGGATAAAATTAAATTGCTTCTCTCCCGTCCTTAAATAACTTCGAGTTGTTGTTATATTCACAACACTGATGCAAGAAAAGAAATGATACTTTCCGAACATCTTGGTGGCAAAATCTGTGGTTTAGAATAATAAACTCCTTCTTTTGGCGGTGAAGAGCATTATGCAATCAACTGAGGCATGACAGAAATGTAAGTCCTTCAAAAGATTAAGTAGCTCTTTAAATTTGCAGTCATGCTGAATTGTCCTCCAAAGTGTTATTGCAGTTGCCTCACTTTTCATTACAGTTTCCCTCAAAGTGCTTAATTTGCTTGACTTATTTAGTTTTGCAGCGATAATGCTCGGCATTGATTAAAAGCTCATCCCCCACATTGCCTGCTGTACCTGAGCCTCGAGCCTCGGCAGCACCTCGCAAAACTCGTTCCATCTGATTGCTTTCGATGTAACATTTATATAAGTGAATGAAAAAAAGGGCCAATGGGAATCAAACAATTAGAAAACAAGAGCCTCCACTTAATTGCTTGTGTCAATCAAGGTGATACCAATGATGGACAGGAGAGTCAAACGAAACGGAAAGGAAACATGAAAGAATTAAGGAAAAGGTAAAGAACATTAAGAAGTGAATAGCAAAAGAAAACAGAATCAAAGTGATAATAACCCTGTGCAAACAACAAAGAAGTCAGTGGCCCTGGTCTACCTGCTGGGTGGCATTCAACAGTGAAATTGCACAGAAGATGAGCCAATCATATTCCCAGGGTTTAAATTTTGACTTAAATACGTTAATATCCTCTGCATGCTGAGCAGAACACCTAAATTACACACAGGGGGGGTGTTATCAAACTTGTCTCTTTGTTTTAAAATTCAGCAAAGGCTTTACAGATCTTTCTCCATCTTGCGTCATAGCACAGTTTTCTATTCAGTATTTTAGAGAAACACTTTCTAACTTTCAACCTTATCTCCTCAGTTAACACTATTTTTGCTCCACAGGATGGTACTCCAGGATGGAGTCTGTAACCAAGTTTGTTTTGTCTTTCTGCCCTCTAGTGGTCAAACATTGCTTTATACAGCTTTAAACTTTACTTTTGAAAATATTTGCAAGCTAACTGAAGAACTCAATAGCACTAATGTATTGAAGGTGAATTTTGTGATTCTGTCAAAAGTTCAAATATCTGCTAAAACTTATTTAAGTTAACATTAACACATTGTATCTCGTTTTTAACCTGTAAGCAAACAGAAATGTAAAAACAAGTTGTGGTTTAATGGAGAGTTACATGAACAGTAAATATTTTTTGGCAAACAGCGAAATCACAACTGTGAGTTGTTTATAGGTGTATTTTTAAAATTTGGACAGAGCAATGCTAACAGTTTCCCACTGCTTCCAGTATTTATGCTAAGCTAAGCTAACCCTAAACCAGTGCAGGCACCAGATCTGTTCAGGGTCTTGCATTTACAGCGTGTGTGATGTACGAATGCCGATATGGTATGATATGACAGACCGATATCTACCAGCCCATCCTCCAGTGTATGGGTGGGCAACTGTGGCTCAGGTGGTAGAGTTCCCCGTCAGGACAGAAGGGCAGAACCAAACACTATTCAAAAATGTACCAATTTTATGATGACAGGCTTGGGAGTTAAAACTTACACAAACAGATAATTAAATGTAAAGTTTGGTATATATACAGTGGGTACAGAAAGTATTCAGACCCCTTTAAATTTTTCACTCTTTGTTTCATTGCAGCCATTTTCCAAAAATCAAAAAAGTTCATTTTATTTCTCAGTAATGTACACTCAGCACCCCATCTTGACAGAAAAAAACAGAAATTCAATTCTGTCTCTGAGCTCTTCAGGCAGTTCCTTTGACCTCATGATTCTCATTTGCTCTGCATGCACTGTGAGCTGTAAGGTCTTATATAGACAGGTGTGGGTTCCTAATCAAGTCCAATCAGTATAATCAAACACAGCTGGACTCAAATGAAGGTGTAGAACCATCTCAAGGATGATCAGAAGAAATAGACAGCACCTGAGTTAAATATGAGTGTCACGGCAAAGGGTCTGAATACTTATGACCATGTGATATTTCAGTTTTTCTTTTTTAATAAATTTGCAAAAATTTCTATATTTCTGTTTTTTTCTGTCAAGATTGGGTGCTGAGTGTACATTACTGAGAAATAAAATGAACTTTTGATTTTTGGAAAATGGCTGCAATGAAACAAAGAGTGAAAAATTTAAAGGGGTCTGAATACTTTCCGTACCCACTGTATTTTATTGGATGGTTCATAAAGGAGATTCAGCTCACCCAGGTGGCATTAAACAAATGTTAACAAAGTTACAAACTAAGTTACACCTTTACTAATACAAAGAGCATTTCACTGTCAATACTGAATGCCTCTGAAAACTTAGTAGTTCTCTATTACACCAAATATTCATAACTAAATGAGCGTAGTTTGAGAAAGCACATCTGGTTTCATCACATTTGATTTAGCAGTGCTGATATCAGAAGTTCGCAGAATTCTGATTCAAATGTTGCTAAACTCTGATTAATGAATGGAAGAATGTGACATCACCTCTTTCCAAACGAGATCCGCCCACTTCAAACCAGTAAGAGGAGACAGAGAAAAAGTGAATTCTGTCACATGAAATAACCAAAACTGTTCCAATTTTAGCAGATAATGTTCATGTGGGACCCAATGCTCATAATAGCAAACTGATTGTGCATGTATGGTTTTGGGGCCTTTAGCCTTTAGCAGATCCAAAAATCGAAATGCAATAACAGCAAATAGTTCCTTTAAATTTCCTTTCAAGTCAATACTATATAGTTGCAGTAAAGGAGGCTGCATTTTCAGGACCTGCTTTCAGGACCTGTAGTCCTGCATTTCTAGGACCCTAGCCACGTCAAAGGGAGGAGGTCATCGTGCGCAGCTGTAGAGTTAACCGGTCGACATGCATACAATTAATGACTTAGGTTTAGGCACACACCCCTGAGATGGTTACGGTAATGGTCAGGGGATTCAGGGTCTGTCAATGCCTTTAATTATACTTAGCTAGCTACCTGCTCACGCTTTAGCTAGCTAATGTTAACTTTGCTGTCTAATTAAATATATGTTCTTAGAAATGTTTACCCTGGTTTTGTTCCGTCCTCTGCTCGGCGTCAGCTCACACTGGAAGTGTTTCAGAAGCGTTTCTTAGTGTTCAGCCTGCACCTGGTGACTAGTTTGTCATTTTGTGTGTTTCTACCGATCAAAGCTGTTCATGAGCCGTGTTTTTTACTGTTCCCTGAGTGGGTGCATATCCCACATGGAGTATTTAAAAATAAGAGCATTTTGCCTGTCTGATTTTGCAGACTTGTTTAGATTTAGTTGATTTTGTCAGTTGTCCTTGATTTTTGTGCTTCTACCATTGTTCAGTAGGCTACATACTTAAATTGTTTGCCTGTTTTAACCGTGTTTAGTGTTTGTTTATATACGATCATGAGTCTGCACAAGGGTATTTTATTTTGAAAATGTACGGTATTCTCTATGCCATTCCTGCCCGGTTTATCTGCTCTTTACTGCTTGAATCCTTACTGCTTCCATCAAAAATAGAAAATAGGCTGCCTATTCTCCGCGCAGCTGAGCTGAGACACTTCTAGGATGCACTGCAGCGCTTCTGATGTGAGCAAAAGCATTGGTTAGAATGGCCGCGATTAGCTCCGTTAATCTTTGCTTAACACTGCGCACATGCCGCCTGTGTAGGTCCGGGGTTAGGAATTTGGTACTGAAAGTTTAGCCTGTAAACTGTACTGCAGCTACATGCTACTCCTTCAAGTAAATGCTGGAGCCTGGAGGGCAGAGTTGGTTCATCAACTCACCTGACTCACTGCCTGATTGCTGTATATGAGGAAGGGATCATTCTCCCCTCTCTTCTCGCTGCCTTAGTTTTGTTCAATGTAGTTTCTCTTTTGGTTAACTTCCAACCTCTTTTGTCTCCCTTCCTTTGTCCAAACTTGGCCTGGATTGTGGCACTAAAAATTGCCCAGAACAGTCTCTCACCGCCCAACGTCTTATCTTGTCGGAACAAAAACTTTAAAAAGCTTCAAGGATTTCAGTTCATGATAATATACGATAAAGAAAAAAGATTCTTTGTGGGAAAGACACTTGATTTTTCGACTTCTATTTTTGCAAGACAGTCTTGCAGTCAGGTTTTTCATTCTTCTGTTCATGTTATTCTCTAGGTTACCAAACTCTTGAAGCGCTCCTTCAGTCTACTCCTCGAGCACAAGAAGGATCCTCACTCGCTGTGACCTTACTCCCATCACTCCTCATTGTAAATCTCTTGTCAAGAGCATTTGTCAGCATATAGAACTTGTGTCCTCTAGTCTCTTTCCTCCTCGGTTCCCTTCCCTACACTTTGCCCCATCTTGCTGCATAAATTAAATCCTAACAACCCCTCACACTCACACAGATACATCTTTGCAATCTTTTTCTCCTCCTCCTCCTCCTCCCTTCTATTTGCCCCATTGCCAGCCTCTCCCAGGGCCATTTCCAGGCCGGAGCAGTGCCATCCGAAAGGCACTGAGGGGGTAATTTGTCTTAAGCTCCACTGCTCTTTCTAACAGATGAAGGAGCTCAAACGGTAGAAGATAATAAGAAGCCTTCCAGCTCTAATCCTGCTGAGGGTAAACCGTAGCAGACCCAGTGAATCATTCCCTAATGCGAAGTGGAAAAACACACTCCGCTCTGCTGGAAATTGAGGGGTGGAAAGAAAGGCAAACTCAAGGCCCTGGGAGAGAAGAGCAGGTCCAACCCATTTGACATGTGGAGTTAGAGAGCGAAACATACAGACCCAAAACGCTGTCAGGCTTTCTCTCTCTGATCCTCTTCTTATCTCTCTCTCTCTACCTCTTTCATTCTCCCTGCAGTTCCCATACAAATGTCCTCCATGTCCTTTATTCCCTTCTTTCCTCTCTCCCCTCACTTGTTTCTTTTTCTCTTCTCCATCTTTGTCTTTCCCTCCTCTTCCTCCTCTCAGCCCGGCTC